TAAACACGTATAACAGGTTTACATAATGAAAAATGTATTTTATGTAATATATATAATATATATTAATATATTAAAATATAAATATATTAAAATTCTCAGATGTAATATATATATATAATTTTTACATCTAAGAATTTAGAAAAAAAATTGCATACGTATCAAGAGAATTAATATTTTATAAATTATTTTTTACTTATTAAACTATGTGGAAACTCGCGCATTCACGAAACATCTGTGAAATATCTTCAAAGTATTTGACTTGACAAAAAGGTTTCGTTATCCGTGAGAATTGAAAGCTAATTGCAATCCGTACGTGATGTTGCCGCAAAATTATGGAATCGTAGAAAGCGATGCCTCGCACGAACATATAAATCGGAGATTCGACGAGATCTAATAGAGCCGCCTTAAACCTGCGGTATTCGAAGTATTCCTGCGAAGGGGAAAATAAGAGAGAGTCCGCCAGAGGATCCCCTGTCACTGAACCGTTATAATATCCTGTCCGGCAATCCCGGGTATCTATTTTGTCCCCGAGGAAGAGCGTAACTATGTGAAAACAACATAAAAAAAATCTCGCCGCGCATAGATATCGAGTTTTGACCCCCCCCGGGCTGGGGTCAGCACTGGAGCGTGTGACCATTTTGTCACCCTCTCCGAAAATTTTATTTACGAATATCCTTTCGTTGCTTGCGCGTGCGTGCGCGCGAGAGAGAGAGTACTCGCGCTGTCCGAATGCGTGACGCGACATAAAAGTGTCGGCACCCCCGCCGATGCAGCCGCGGATTCTTTCCGAGTTACAAGCGGCGAAACTTCCGGCTGAATTTAAATGTCCAATTGTCAGCGGCGCCGCGCTCCGAGCCCTTCGACGAACGTTTTACGGGCAATCGACGACGAAGGAATAACTTGTTCCGCAACTTTTTTTTCCGTCCAGCTATAGAATGCGTTATGACGTCATGGATGAATTTTGATTCCGCGTAAGAGCTATCTTCGAGTGTTATTGCGATCGGTCGAGCGATACGAATTTGCGGAATTACTTCATGAACGGAAGCGATTTTACATTTAGGGCAGCACTGAATCAACCTGTTTCTCGTGAAACTTTACAGGGACATGACTCACGTTTGTAAAATATACATTTACGATGTTACCGTGTTGTAATCATACATGTATCGAGAAAGACCGTCGATTAATTATCGTGGAAGCTCATAGAAAAGGTTGGATGAGATCAAAACAGGAAGTGTTTAAAGTGCTTGTGGTTTACGAGAACGGTATCTCATTTTCGGGAGTAATCCCGATCCTCGACCGACCAGCAGCGACTTTAATTTATACCGAAATAATTTCACGGTTCTCTCAACCCCGCGACGAATCGGAGATGCGCGGAGGGTGAACTCGTAGAGAGAATATTTGGAACAATAAGTCGCGGCGGGTGTTCGATGACACGAAGTGCAGCGGGAAGTGACGGGGCGCGATGAATGAAAATATCCGCGGAGTGAAAATCCGTCAGAGATCGCGCTCGTCTCCATGCCGGGGATAATAATGCTGCCTGGCGCACAGACGGTTTTTGTGTCCTCTGGCTTTCTTCATTCTTCCTTCGTCGCCCGCGCTTCCTAGAGACGACGGTGGGGTGCTTTAAATATTTAGCCGGCTAATTTTCGCCAAGATTTTTAAGCCGACGGTGGAAAGTGAGAATTGAAAAGAAACTCGGCGACGCGACGCGCCGGGATCGGGGAGGGAGGCGACCGAGCGAAATGTCCTCTAGACTGAAATAATAATGAGAGGCGCCAGCGCCTTTAATCACGATATTAAACATTTACGATCGCCACGGCGGTGTCCTGCTACGCTAAGATTACTGCGCTCCTCTTCTCGCGCGGCCTCCGCGATCCGATCTTCCCCCTGGTACAAAGCGACTTTCGCTGTAACCCTCCTACGTTCCTTGTTTACGTCTAGTCGCTGATAACCTTACACGATGATCTACCTCGCCTCGGGATATTTTGCACCAGCGTCTGCTCTGGAATGCGCTTTAGCTCACCATGAACGAGATGTAGACATACGAAAGTTGATAAAGTTTATTAAGCGTATACATTTATATATTACCTTGCGATAAATACGATTTATTATCGCGCCATCCCTAATGAGCTGTATGGTATTTCGCTTTTTTATTTGGGGTATCGCGCTAATACGCTTAGATATATGTACATTGAGACATGTTTTTACCTGTGAAGTAGCAGTGATACGGTTAAACATGCACGGAATGAACCTCGGGAAGACAAATCTACCGCGATATACCGAGGTAGATCTGGGCTCGAGATTATTGCAACGGACGATTCGGGGTGGAATATAATTTGCAGTAGAATGGGCAATTCGGGCGAAAGGACGGTGGACACTGGCGAAAAAGTCCATTTTTCTTGGCCGACGTCGCTATCGCCAGATTATGTCCCGCGCAGCTATATTGATGACAATGGCAAAGCCGCCGAACCGACTAGCCGGCTCAATCTAGTCCACCGTTTGTTTTGCTTTCACACAATTTGTCATCCATTGTCTGAGCGCACGGTACACTCGCTGTCCCGACCGCCTCCAATCGTTATTTATGGTTTCGAAAAGACGCTTGATTAATTTCTGTCTCGCCCTCTCCTAATGTCCGAAAATCGCTGGCTCGCTTTCAAAAAGCTCCGCTGATTAAGTCCTCCCGATTCTTCGTAATTAACGCAAAACAATTCTCTGGTTGGTACACGCGACGGCACGATCGGGTCTACAGTCTACATAAATATTCAGCTTACGATGGAAATTACATTTTTAAGCCGCGGTTTAAGATGACGCTGATGCGGGGTGATAGTCCGACTGAGCGGGGAATAATTTAATATTCCTTATTCCGGTAATGCGATTTCACGGAGCACCGGCTACGCGACGCCCGAGCATTAGAAATACGATTTTCCTTTCGCAATCGCGAGGGATGGCTCCCGCCGTCGAGAAGCATTTTTCTCGAATCTAACTTCCCGAATTCTCATTTTCATGCTCCGTTCTCTTTCGTATCGAATCACGAATTTCAAGTTATTATTATAGACGGTACAAGATCTAAAGTGTAGAAGAAAGAACAAGAATGTTTGAATTCATAGATAAATATATATAGCAAGTAAGATTCGACATGTCACACTTTTCAAGCTTGCGATTAACAGACACGATTAATTAGTACACTCTTAACGATATTAATTGTATATAAGTAAGTTCCTTGATATTTTTTCACTGTTAAATTAAATCCGTATTTCTTTAGTAATTATACAATCGCATAACTGCAGGCCAAAAATTTCCACTTAATAACGTCGCCAAAGTTGTCTATTTGAGAAAATAATAAAGCATTGAGCGAAATACAGGAAAGAGGGAAAAACATTTTCCGTCAGGTCTCGTTTTTTTTAGCTCTCCCCTTTTTTCGTGATACCTGAATCTCGAAATCCGACCGCGGTATTGGCAACGAGTGCTAAACTGCAGGGGACTCTCACAGGCTCCATTGTGTATGTACTCCGCGTGTAAGGGTTGCCTTCATCTTTTTCCTTAACATTCTCCCCTCCCCCCAATCTTTTTTTCACATTACGAGACGCCTCTCGTGTCGCACACTCGAACGAAGTCGAGAAGTTCGCGGGGTAACGTGAGAATGACAACAGATGCGGCGGAATGAAATTACAAGGTGTCTCGACATTATGTCAGCGTGTTGTGCTTTTTCAGCGAAATTGTTGTGACAGGCGTCTCAATACGCGATTCTCTCGCTCCTACTCTTTCTTTCCGCCACCCGGCTCTCTCTTTCCCTCTCTCTCTTCTCCCTTCGAAGACTCCCCTGTGGCATAGGGTGGACACTTTTACGGTGTCAAGTCCCGGTCTTTTGGGAAAAGGGTCCGCGTCGTCTGTCGTTTGGCTAATCCCATTTAATCGGCCGCTTTTCCTTTCCGATACGCCGATCAGCCTAAAAAGAGCGCTTGAGAATGATCGATAAAAATATCGGATTGCGCGCCCCTAAAGTGAGACGTTCGTATCTACTTTCACACGCGTGTAAACTTCTGATCAACTTTACATTGCATATGTTGAATTAATTTATCTTTAAAGAATTGTCTTTACCTCACACACATACAATACGTGTGATATTATGTCACTGTCGGTAATTTTTGTGCCAGCGTTTAATTTGTATAAAATTACTATTATTGTTAGCTCTATTCTAAGACCGGTCATTTGGGTTGATACCGCACGAGATCGCATTGGTTTATCTCGCGTTTTCTAATTGTCTATGACTATTCATCGAGCCATTTATACTCGGCGCAATTATCGCCGTCATCAGTCTTCAGACCACAGTCATTCCGAATCCGATTACGTCGAAAGCCACCGTCATTTATCTTCTCGCGGAAATGTCTTGAAATCGCGTCATGCCCGCTCGAGATGTAATTAATGACGAATTACAAACTTGAACGCGACAAATCTTTTATGACGTTTTAGAATAAAAGAACAAGGATAAATCATGTATACAGCTGTTTATCATGGCTCAATCTTAATCACGGATAAATCTGAACGGGGAATGCCGTTGAAAAATTGCAACTAGCCATGTTCTCATTGTTTGTTTTGTAAATCGAATAACTTCCGGGGAAAAAAAAGATTTGCTAAGTGTGGGGTTCGAACCCACGCTCCCAGATGGGAACCAGATCTTAAGTCTGGCGCCTTAGACCGCTCGGCCAACCTAGCTTCGACGAGTCCCCAGTGGAAATGCCATTGGATAACCTGTGTATATGCACTTCTAATGTTTGTGCTGTACAATAATTACGATTCTCATTTCACAATTTGATAAACAACGTTTTACAGCTGTTTGCATGATTTTATCTCTTTAGAACGTCACGTGACATCGGATATTTTGAGAATGTGACAATAAGCACAAACAAGTGATACTTTACGTTATGATGACATTTTTCATTCTGTTACTTTTAGCAGAGTCAAACGGGATATTAAATTCTGTTATTACTATTATTTTCCAGCTTGCTTGGTCATCTTCTGCAAACTGTGCCCCGACGAGTTCGACGGAATAGGAAACACGCTGCGTGGCATGGGTAAGTGCACATGAATTCTCCGTGCGAGCACACGGTAATTTGCCCGTGACCGCTAATGCGCCGCTCTGTCTTTGTGCTTCTGCAAAAAATCACGGAAGTTGTGAGGCACGACGCGCTATTTGAATAATACCGTCATTATTCACTCCGCTCGTTCCACAGTGTGACTAACGGTGAGTCGAGGGTGAGGAGTAGGCTGGTACTTGTGAAATTTGATCGTAATCGAATAATCCGCGGTGCCCTCGCGAGAAGGACTCCCGGCGCGTGTCAGACGACCTCCGTCCTCGGCGAAACGGCGTCGTTGCGCATTTTTCTTTTATCGATCAACATTACGACGGTAGAGTATATAATGGAATATTGCGGCGCTCGTGGATAAACAAGAAGTTAAAATCTCGCTGATTTCTCACGTAGCAGTGCTAAATGTACGGTCTTGGCGCGCGCGGCTCGTAAGAGAGCGATAGCTCACTCCGTGAACGATCGTATCTGCGTGTCATCGCGCGGTATACCCGTCGCCGTCTCAAACGCTTCTCCTCGCCCTTTGCATACACGAGAGTCCAATGACCCGTTTCCATGTCGGTTTAACAACACCGTGCACCGCGGATTTGCACGCGTATCATCCACGCTCTTCATCGTTCCTCGCCGATGCATTCACGGGGGACACCCCCCTCCCCCCCTCCCCCTCGTCTTGCGCGCGGGCGCACCTGTGCGGGCGCGGCGGGGACGATAAGTCAGCGGCGAGAACGGCGCGACGTCCAGGGAGGTGGGCATGTATACGCAATAAAAGCGAAATCGTACGTCCGCGGCGACGTTCCGTGGCGACGTAATAAAAAAGGGAGACCCCGATAAAAGCGGCCGGGGGCATATCGCGGACCCCGCCGCTGCCGGCGCGGCCGCGCGGAGGCGCAGTCGATGTTGTTGATGTTGGGATCGCGTGCCGCGCGGAATGTCGTACCAGTCTGCACCCATCCCGTTGTTAAGGCGTCCCTGTGTCCCCCTTTTCCCTCCCCCCCTCGTTCCGCCACCCCCGCCCTCGTCGACCGCCCCGCGGCCGTGTCATTAGCGTAATCATTCTCCGTCACTTGGACGATTCCTCGAGAGCGCCGGGGATCCCGAACCACTTCATATTTAAATCGCTCCGAGTTCGCTTCCACTTCCGACGCGCGCTTTGGGGCTTTCCTTATTGTGCACCGCGGGGAATCGTAATGATCACCGATAACGATTCGTCCCGCGAGCTACGGATTCGAAATAAATAAAACAACTTTTCGTCTTTTGCGTTTCGCGCGCGGTTCCTCGTTCGATTTCGCGTAGGGGGGGGGGGGGTGCGAAAGTTAACGAACGCAATCATTAAAGAACGTCTTAATTCAGGGATATATTACAAGATCATATTTCATTTGTTTCCACGGTGATTTATCTCGCGTGAAATAGCCGTTGCAATATCTCGATACGTGCATTTGTCACGGCGAGGGTTTACTTGTCAAAAGCACGTCCGCGTCGTTCGAGCCGTAGCAGAAAAATAATTAGACGAAACAGACATTTTTCGAGCGAGCACGTGTGTCTCAGAATGCAGGCCCCAGCTGTTAACCGCGCTTCGACTTTCTGTATTTGTGCCGCCATATGCCAAACTTTATCTTTCTTTTGAAGACTCGGGGCCCAAGGGTGACGAGAGCAATTTATCTCCAAATTAGTTGGCTATAAATAACCATTGTAGGTATTTCTGCTATTTTTAGCCGGCACTGCGCGATCTTTTATTTCGCGTTATTCGCAATAAATGAAAACAAAGAAATTCTACTCTAAACAATCTGTGATTTGCGTCAGATTTCACGACAGATTTCTATTTATAATCTTATTATGCTGTACATTTGGTTATATAGAGGAAAGTCTTCTATTATGAGATATGATTTTAATATGAGATAGCAGATTTTCAACGTCCAAATTCAATCACAAATTTTTTTTCGCAAATGATTACACGATCTAACAATCAGTTTTCCTCTAAACAGATTTCACTTCAAGGGCAATAAATTCACGATGGAACCAACAGATGATGCCTATTAATTTAGCAGAAACTCCGCTACCTCATATTAGGAGCCTATCTCATAATAAGGGACTCTTGTATTTCGCCTCAGTATTATCTATCAATTATGCTGAATACTTGTAGCCGAATAAATAGCATTCGTCTCTATGGTGCACCGGTTTGTCGTACGTGATCTATTTCCGACATTTTTGTCGAACAGTTAAACAAATTAAGTATTTTAATTGCGACAGGTTTAAGCTTGCTTCAAACGATTCGTTATTCGCCATCTATAGTTCCATTTCAGAATTCTATTTATAATTTTAGGTATCGTATACTCGTAATATAAAATATATACATTGACTCTATGTATTTCAATTTAACCTTTATATTAAACCTAACGTTTAAACCTGTCGCAATTAAAATACTTAATTTGTTTAACTGTTCGACAAAAATGTCGGAAATAGATCACGTACGACAAACCGGTGCACCATAGAGACGAATGCTATTTATTCGGCTACAAGTATTCAGCATAATTGATAGATAATACTGAGGCGAAATAACGCGTGAACCCGCGAATGCACGCTTGGAGATTGAACGAAGGGCTTTGTACGGGCGTGATTGATCAAGTAATTTGTTTGTAAACGCTGATTGTGTCTATCGACGACTGTGATTTGTGTAATCGTCTTCGACTCGGCGGGTTATCGCACTCACGGAACAGTCTCCCGTTGTGTGATTTTTATTCGGAGTTTTCTCATCTTATCACTGTACATAAACATTATGTGACCACTAGCGTGCTTTATGAACGCAACGCTATTATGCAATCCTTCCTAACACACTTTAAATTACTCCTCAAGTATCCGAGATAGAGCGGCGTGAAAAATTTAAATTAGATTTTCGTTATCGCGTTTGTCATAATTAATATCTCCTCGACCGAGCGCAAATGGATTCAAATAGAACAGCCTCTATAAAAGTAGAACATTTCTATTTATCTTGTACAAAACTCTTCTATTTATCTAACATTTATATTTCTTTTTCCCTGTTTAATTTCTTAATTTATTTTTAAATTGTGTTATTTGCTAAAGTATCTTGAAGATTTATACGCTATATTAATTTAGATGTTACGAGAAATATTGCATAGTTTCACGCGCGCAATTCGCAGCACGTAATTTGTTACAATTATTCTTTTATTGGGTGAAATACCGTTAGCGTAAAGACCGTACAATTATAATTTTTTTATAATGTTTCTGTCCACTATTTTGTTCTCCCGTATATACATATGCGTATGTATACAGACATGTAGTAGGAAAGGCAGTGACATTTTTGCTTGTTAAAAGCTGAATGTGATATCGCTGAACCGGAAAGGTGATGTAACAACGTCCTTTGACTTTGAGTACATATATACAACCCGACGTAGCAAAAATTAGCTTTTGAAAATAATTCACGTGTGTTATCGGCTGCTAAGGGTCGTTTCATGTCGCGGCTCGTCCTTTACGTCATGCCGCATGGGAGTGCTTTTATGTCAATGCTTCAAAGTGGCATATGAGTACCTACGTAAAGGTATCGTACGCTACAAAAGTTGAACGCACGCTTCCGATTTGATATTGTTATCGCATTCCTCGCCGCTGGACATTTATCAACGTAATTACTCAATATCTGTCGCTGCCTTGTACGGAATTTTTAATTTCTTCCGTCGCTGTATGAATAGAAATGCAATTTATCTTTCGACCGTATCTTTAAATTGAGTTATCACAGTATCTTGAAGATTTATACATTAATTTAGATGTTACGAAAAATATTACGTAGTTCCACGCACACAGTTCACGGCACGTAATTTGTTACAATGCTTTTATTGGGAGAAACACAATTGGCGTAACAAAACGTATAATTATAAATTGTTTATAAAATGTAAAAGAAGTAGCACGAAAACCGTATCGCTGGAAGACTGAACGCATGTGAGTTTCTCATGATAATGTACCACGAAAGATCGTGAAACGATAATACCGAACAGCCGTATCGCGTCGCGTCGCGATGACGCACACGACGAGGAGAAGCATTGTCGATTGCATCCGCGTAGGTTAAAGTATTAATCAGAAGCCGCTGTCTTTTAAGATTATTAAAATCGTCAAAGCAACAGGCTCCTCAAAGGGTTAATTGTCATGCTTATGGCTGAGCGCTGCGCTTTCCTCGCTCGCCAGGGAGCGAATGCGAATAAAGAACGAGCGGGAACGAGAGGTGCGCCATCGAGATACCCCGCGAAAAAAAGAGGCTTACTGTCTGCGAAGCATTGTGAGAATTAAGTTTCGAGTCGCTCTTGATCGGCGAGTGACAGTCGAACGGATCAGCGTTTTCCACGTTATCTCGCCATCGCCTTTTAACTATCTTTATTTATCATTATTTCTTTTAATACGCGGAAAGAATGTTCTCTTAAAATTTATCCTGAAAATCACGTGGAACAACGTGACATTTTGAAGAGCTTTATGAGAGTTTTTGAAATTTTGCCATACATTTTATTAGTAAAATGTATACTAACAATAAGTATAATTAGGTACTAGTGAAATGTATGGTGAAATTTCGAAAATTCTCATAAAATTCTTGAAAATGCCGTGTTGTTCCACGATCACGTAATTTTCAGGATAAATTTTAAAAGAAAATTCCCACCGTGTGCCTCCAGAAGTTTATGAAATATACTAAGAAAATTAAATGCAAGCTTGTCTTTATTAAATATCAAGAAAATATCAAGAATATAAGCCCAATAATATTACGAGCGGTGGTTTAATAAAACATTAAAATTCAGGTATAATAAAGTTAGCGAATTACAATGTTTTGATAACGCATTTTCTATCTATGTTTGGTAAAGATAACTAACGGACATTTCGACTTTACTTACAATTGATCATCTTCAGCGTGTTTTATTCTTGCAATCTATTAACAAGGCTCCTTGTCCAAGTATAATCCAATATTTATTAGTGGTAATTTTGTTATGCTATAACAT